TGATCAGAATTTTGGCGAGAGTCTTTGCATATTTACCTTCTTTTATTTCCCAGATTCTGGACTTTATCTATTGACCGGTTTTGTTTTTTATTTTGATCTCTTTTGAATCGCGTGACACTGAAAACCAGCAATTAATGCCTTCTGCATAAAAACAAGTATAATGGCATTGATAAAGAGGTCTACTTCACCGCAGAGGTACCTACCAGTTGCAAATCGTTCATCATGTTCTTCGGGTTCCTTTTCCTTGTGCTGTTTGTTTTGGAGCTCATGAACCTTCGTCAGTCTCGAGCAGCGAACATTGTACAGAATTGCAAGAAGTAAGAGCGTAACCACTGTCAACAGTAATGGAACAAACGCTGAGATTATGTTGCTGTTAATGAAATCCATTTTCTGTTCAGTCACTCAGTTGCACAGCTTTGCCGTTGGTCTATACCTGGTTCATAGGCTGAGCTTACTTAGTCTTAGTTCAGTATGCCACTGTAGGAACAAGCTGCCAGTCGCCCGCTCACCAGCTAGTGATTTATGATATTGCTTTAGGTGGTACGTCAGGGATCGATCTACTCTTGCGCGGTTTATTTGATTCAAGTGTTTCAGTGATGTGTCCTTTGTTTTGTATCAAGGAACTAAAACCAAGGTAAACAGCGTTGCAGTCAACAGAGAATGTCACGTCATGCAATGTATCACCGTCACCGAAGCTTCTAGCTGCTTCTTTTTTTCTGTTTACCTTATTTCTAATCGAAGAATGTTTTTTTTTCTTGACCGCCTTGAACGATCACCGAGCAGGCGTCTGGATGCGAGTTAATACGAATATACTAAAGAAGAATGTCGAGCTGGGATCATCCCTGCGGGTTAGACCGGCGGAAACGTCTAAGTGCTGTAATACGAAACAAATCACGACATTTCGTCCCCTTTAAATATTTCGGAAATCTTACTAATAATTAACACAAAATTTTCAAGTGAGACAACGATAACTGTAAACTGGATTTAAAATAAATTCGATTGATGCAATAATCATTTTGCTTTTTTCATGAATTATGCATCTTTTTTTGAGGATATTCAAGAAAATTAAAACAAAGGCATGAATCCACATGGCTCGACTGTTCTTCAATTGAAGGTATTACATGTACTTCCGAGCAAGCACGGTTCAGACCGAAGAACTTGAGTACTGATTCAAGTTTTTACTTTCGCTTACAGTAAACTTAGCTTTGCGTTTGGAATTGAATTTTTCAGTTTACTGGCCCTTAAGTGCACGTGCTAGTCAAAACTTCATTCAAGCTCAAAAAATACTCTTTAACATATCCCTAAGTATAAGTATTATGGCTACAGGATCTGGAATCCTGCATTTCATATACTGTTTCAAACTCTTTCTCGTGACAGTGCATACATCGCGGTTTGACAAACGTTCACCATATATTTCCACCCAAAATTACCTTTTAGTTTCAGTTACACTTAGGCCGTGTAAACAAGCTCAGTTTCCTTGGTTTCACATCAATCACGGAATATGCAACAGAAGGAATTATCTTGACCGAGAGGACTTTTTTTTTTTCTCCCTTTCGCAAACTCCCCACTCCGCTAAGCGCAGGCTGCCGGCTAAAATTGTAGAGACAGGTATGTACTACCGAAAAAAAGGGAGATTTTGCCTGTTACAACTGACAGTATAGTATTGGAGAGTCCCTATACAGACCAGGGGCAACTATCAAAGTCAGTTATATTTAATGAAGACTACATAATGTTGGTGTTGCCATGTGCGTCGCCATATATGTTAGCCATGCTAACAGTTCCAAAATCACTGACTGGGCCTTCGACGGCAAAATTGAACGAAAGTGATTCAGTGTTGTACTTGAGCTCTAGCTCCCTCCATCTTCTATTTCACCTAGAAATATTCCACGTCGGGAATTGTGTGAAATTTGAATGTAATATAAAATAACTGTACAGACATCATTCGGGAAGAAACTTCAGAACTTTCACCTTTACTCATTTTGCAAAGTAAACGTTCACTGAACATTGCTTATATTTTTTCATCAATGTCGGACTTATTCTAATGTTTGCTTATCCTATGTTACCAAGGCTGCGGCTAGCTTTCTTGTGTGACTGGCCAAGGGTCTTCTACGTCACTCTTTTCACGCTTGATATCTCAGGTTTCAGTTCCAGAGACAGTGCCAATATTTCTAGACATTCCATGTTGCTATATTATAAAGGGACGCGGATTTAGGATCAACAATCAACAACTCCCGTCGCCAACAATCGCGCCGCAGTCGTCACATTCTCCACGTAGTACACGATCGGCTTGGTAAATTACATGCACTCTTTCCTTTTTATAAGAATATATTTTATAAGAATATCAGACGAGGCTGAAATTTGCGAAATCTTAAGAATATTTTGAGAATAAACCCGAGGCTGAGATTTTGAAAAGAATATGATATTGTGTCGAAAATTTGTAAATACAATACAATTATATGTTTTTAACTACGCCGTATAAAACTCTTCCTTTTTCAAAACTAGCAAAAAAGCTGGTAATAACACTTCTGCAAGCAGTCATGTGAGTGCATCAGGCTTTAATGCCTGCAGGCTGGCTCCAATATTTCTTAAACGCCATCCAGACACCAAATACATTCGAAGACAGAAATGCCATTTACGCTATAATCTAAGAATATTCACAAGAAAATTTTCAACCTAAAATCGACAGAAAAATAAGAATATTCAGCCTCGCCCCGAAAAACAATATTTTTATAAAAAAGAGCGTAGTTATTTCTGAGCCCGAGTAAATTCTGTGCCGCAAAAGATTAATCAAAGTCAGAGTTAGCTCAGTGGATTGAACTTAACTAAGGTACATAAATTTACATAAGCGAAATGAGGCTGGCTGCGAAGGCGACGTTCTGAAAAGAATGAAAAGTTTAATTAAATCGTGAAATTCAGCAAAAACCCTGGGTTAGTTTTGTCAGTGCCCTGGTGTCAACGTCAAATAAGGACTGAAAAACAAGTTTATCAGTCCACTGAAATTAGAACAGGAAGTATTTCTATTTTTTCTGAATGATGAACCGAGTAACTCGAAACGGAAAATGAATATGTAGTGGTTGCAACTTGTAAAATTAGTCTCAATGACATAAGACAAACAAATTGCGGAAGGCGCCTATTGGGCCGGGTCAATCTAAGGGAAAACCCCCTTTTAAGATTCAGAGAATAGAAATAAGACTAAGCACATCAAATACATTTGCTGAATATGTGCATTTTCATTAATAAAAAAAAGTTTCGTCATAATTAACAAGCTCGAATGATTTTTGTGGAACTACGATGAAGAGAATACTTCGCTTTTAAAATTCCCATGTACTACCAGTATGAAACTGTCAATGCAAAACGCCCAATTTCAGGAAGAAATTAGCAGAAACGCATGCATTAACATACAGTTTTCTTATGAAGTCATTTTCAATTTGTTTTTTTATACTGATCCAGGTTCTTTCAGCGCGAAAACAATTTTGTCGCCAACAGTTCCGTGACAAGATATATTATCTTACTAAGTTGCCATGATTTCAGACACACAAAGTGCCTTGTATTTTACGTACGATAAGCTTAGGGACACTTAGTGTCTCGATACCAACGAACCTGCGACGGATTTGTATTAAGGTTTTTTCACGGCCAACTTTTAGGCAACTATACTGGACGCTTAGTCGGTATAGCTCAGTCGGTAGATAGGTAGGTACGTAGGTTCCCTGCGTTTTTCTTATTTGAGCAATTGCGATAGAATATTAGGTTTTAAAGGAACCAGACTGAATCAGTGAACTTCCGAACTTGTACGCCACGACGAAGTGTGGCCCGTTTAGTGTGATTTAATAGGTGAAGCTATCCATCGAGACTCGATACCGTTTGGGTTTTATCCCGGAACCGTGTCGGGGAAATTTCCCACGTACCTCAGTCGACACGCGTCAATAACTGCCAATAGAAGCCAAGCCTTCAGTCAAGTGCTGTTCGAGGGAAAGCCCCTAACGAAAATAGATAATGGCTGGGAAAAGGTCCTTTCGGTAGGGCAGAAGTATAAAAGACAGCAACACTGAGGTAAGCTCTGACACTGCCACTTACAGTCATCTGTTGGGTTGTACAAGAACTCGGTGAAACAGGTTTCAGCGTTGGTAAGTTTACAATTTCCTCAGCTACAGATCTATGCCAGTTTATTTATTACATGAAACAACCAGCATTTAGGATTCCCGGAGATTTGTAAATTTGACATTTTTGCTTCGTAACGTTAAGCCTCATGCAAACGGCCGAAGAGTAAGTTGCCATAAATTCGTGAAAATTTTGTATTTTCTGCTTTTTTTCTTTGCTCCACAAAGTTTTTCGTTACCTCGGTAGTTCCGCAACACGACAAACGAAAATGGCGCGTGCAGGTGATCAGCAACTGCAAGGTCGACATTTTAATATCACAACTTGGTTTGCAAAATTTCAATAGGGTAATATATTACATGCAAACAAAATCGTATTAAGTTTAAAAACTGAAATAATCCAACTGATTTTGCGGGTTCACTTTGTCGCTTGTCGACAAAATTTTCGAAAATAGACAGTTGGCGCGTTGTTCCAAAACCGTTGATGCTCATTAAAAATTCTGAATATTGAATGCTGCGACCAGGCGTCGAATACAAAATCACACAGATCATGCTGTGAATGCGTGCGTTAGCTGTCACGCAAAAATGTCGCTTAACGTTGTAAACACGTTAAAACGTTAAAGAGGTTGGCAAAATTAAAAATGAAATATTTACTAAAGCTAATGATCGAGTCGGGCCTTGGCATATCGGGCGGAATCCTCACGTCAGCCGACATAAATGCGGCACTAAATCGTTAGGTTCAGGAACATGATTTGCATTCGGAGAAAGTTTAATTAAGTCCGCCCATGAGAAAAGCCCTGAGAAAAATTGTTTTCACCCCGCACCCCGCCACACTCCTTTCCTCGTGGCACCTAATTTCCACTTGATCATGCGGTCCGAAGGTGTCATCGTACAAAGTCCATTTATGTATATAAACGTTCCCTGGAGTAAACAGACCAATTGCACAAGCAGCCAGCCGGGAAACTCCCTATTTTATTTTTTTACAGCAATTACGCACTTGACTTTAGAAACAGATACACTTGTCCTGCCGGCTCCTCGCAGTTCTGCAATTCATAGCTCTCAGCACTGCACTGCACCCCGGCGTGGGGGTAGGGCAGGGGAGGGAAGAGAGAGGGGGGCAATTGTGAAACTGACCCGGGATTAAATGTCTTCACTCCCAGCTGGCAATGATATATGGGTGACATTCGAAACTGATAATTTAATGTTGAATTTTTTTTTTTGTCAGATATCCATTGATCATGCCTGGTTATGCATGTGTTTTTTCCGAAAAAGACATGAAGTCTTTTGATCCTAAATACCTCTGCACGTCCTGTGGAAATGTATTGAGGGATCCTGTACAGACCAACTGTGGACATCGATACTGCAAGTCTTGCATAGAACCATTACTAAGGTACTGTTTGGCTAATTGGCCGCACTCCTACCTTCCTGGATTGGGAAGATTTATGATAAGTCGAAATCATCAATTTGAGCTGGCGATATGTCGTATGGGCTTTGGTGGATTCGAGTGCTCCGGCCTAACGGAGCGTTGTCGTCTGGCTAGTGCCCCTGACCTACTGGTAAACAGTATATGTTTATCGCGATCTCCGTCCAGTATATCTGGTGACTTTCAAGGAAGCATTCCTTTCTGATCATATCGGAACCTAACTCGGAATTGAGCCGAGTTTTCCACCCAGATTAAAAAAGCCAATGGTCCTTTATGTTCTTACCAAAACAAATTGGATGCTCTTTTGTTTTAGAATGTCGTCTTCGAAGTGCTTGGTGGACAGTGCGGAAATCACCATGGAGAAGGTATGTTTGACTGCTTCACCTCCTTTACGTCAGCTTTGAGCATTGTCGACTTCTGAGACTATCATAAAAAACATAAAGACAAAAGAAACTTTTCTTCAGTCAACTGAAGTTGAAGCCCTTCCACGATCTTGTCCCAGAATAAAAGGGAACTTGTTCTTGGCCACTTTATACATAGCCTGTTTTCATAGATTACTGATTGCATAAATTAAATTAGTTAATTAATTAACAACATTATCAAGATAGTGTCCCATTGCAAGATATGATTCATTATAACTTGATAGATAACTGGTTAATTAAAATTGCTTTATATAATTATGATTGTTAGATATTCGAAGACAAGTTTGCGCGACGCGAAATTCTGTCGTTACCAGTCCAGTGTACAAACCAAAGCGACGGCTGCAATTGGACAGGAGAACTGGGACATCTAGAGGTGTGTTCGTATTGTAAATAACAGTTATAATTACTCTGATTATAGTTTGAATGATCCTAAACTTCCCAAGCTAGCACTTTGTTTTATAAACTAGGCCGGTTCGATACTTACGTATAATATTATGCAGAAGTAGGTTTAGGCAAAGGACCGAAGAGGAGATTTTTGGCTAATCACGTCTAATATGAAATTATAACGACTAATTTAAGTAAAATTTCTCCAACGTCCAAGCGGAGGGGACAGGGAGTGCCTGGTATCCCCGATGGGGTGTCGTTGTTTAAATGTACTTTTACGAGATCTTCTTTGAAAGAAACCTGTTTTCTCCAGTACAATTTTAAAACTCCTTTTCAGCAGTTCTAAACAGGCTCTACTGAGAGAGAGCACCGCTACGTCCCAGGGTTGAGTATTTTACTTTTTTTTTTCAGGACCACGAGGCTCAATGTCCGTATACCAAGGTTCAGTGTATGTATCCCAGTTGTGGAGTCCTGGTGCTGAGAGGAGACTTATCCCGGCACCTTGAAGCAGCCTGTATGTTTAGACAGCAGCAATGTCAGTACTGCAAGTTTGTGACAACAGCTGACCAGCTTAAGGTATAGTCTATTACCTTTTCTGATCGTGATCAATATATTTTATGAAAATCTACGAAACGTCCTGGTCTCATTGACTGTTACGTTGAAACTCTTGATTTGTTTTCTACCAAACAATATGGAATAAGCCGAGTCAAGAGTAACAATGCATAAATGCAAACTGAGGAAGACACAGGTATTAAACTAAAAGAGAGACATTATCATCATTGAAAGGGCATTTACCTCATGGTCTTGTAGCAGCACCCAGCTTTTGTCTTGGTTTTTGAAAACAACTTCAATTGTTCGGTTCTGCTCTGTAGGAACACGAAGAGAATGATTGCGAGGAATACCCGGTGGACTGTCCAAAGTGTTCAACTGTAAACCTCCCACGAAAGCAGGTAAACTAACCACAATGCCTCGTTTTTGTCGGTAACAAATCAATAGTTGTGCGACACTGCATACATTATTCCAATGAACAAGAAGTCTGAATTCACTACTACATTATGGCGTCAAGGCCAGACTCCTTTTAACAGAAGAAAAATAATTCTGTTCTGAAGGCTTTTATATGTCTCAACGAATATGTAGACGTTTAGATAGTGACAGTTAAATTTACCATAATAAGAAGTTATAGGAAAAGATTTGGAGCGACTGTTGATCTAACCCGAAATTTTATTTTCAACTAAGCTTTCAAGCCACCTTGATGCTGTTAATGGTGACTGTGAAGCTGTTGAGGTGCTCTGTGCTTTTGAGAGCATAGGATGCAAACATGGAAAGGTGAGTAATTATAGAT